TTGCTTCAACCTCATTTTGTGAGGAAAATTCTGTCATTTCATTAGAAATGAATGGGAAACGGTTCCACCTAAGTGATGAAAAAGAAATAATTGGTAAATACCATAAAAACTGAATAATCATTCTTATTTAAAATTATCTTTATTTTTGTAGATAAGAAACGGAGGAAATTACCTTTTACAAAGAACTGCAGCAATTGCAACCTAACTGGAGTAAAAAAAGCGTTGTGTCGCGCTAAGAAAAATGCCAGAATAATAAGGCAAAAGCTAATACAATTGAGGAAAAATCCTCAGGTATTGGTGAACCTCAAATATTTGAATAAAGAAACTAGAAATTTCTTTAGCAGCCAGTCCCGAAATCAGAAAAAAGAAGTGCTGGCTCTTTCCATTTACAAACAAAGTGGTAAAGGATACCGGTTCTTATCAAATTTCTTTTCATTACCATCCAGGAAGACGCTACAAAAACTGTTAGGGTAAACAAAATGTAACATTATTCTATTTATTGAACTAAAACTAGAACTAATAGTAGCACTATCACTAGAACTAACACTAGCTAGAAACTTTCGAAGTGATTTCAAGTCGTCTTCGATAGTGCTACTATTAGTTCTAGTTTAATTACACCGGCCGTGAAAGCCTTCGTACTTATATTCTATTTATGTTACCAAATTTTATTAGTTTTGTGAATAATAAATTTTTATGTTGAAATTAGATCTTTCATTTAAAATATATTAAATAAAATAAATTTAAATGAATTTTATTTCATTTTTTCAAAGCAATATTAATTGTGTTATTTTTAAATTTGGCGGTTAAAGTTAGCCCCAACAATCTGGCAACGTCGGTCGCTTCGCTTCGATGCGCAGCGAACAATGTTGCCAGATCGTTGGTTAGCCCAGTTTTCCACCATTATCCTAGTCGAAGTTGGTTTTAATCTATGATTAGTACTCTGCGGTGACATCGGATGGCGCTGTACGCAAGGTACAATTTAATAAGGTAGAGTTGGCCATCTCTATCCTTCCTTGTCTCTGATTATTATTTTATTTAAAATTTTGAAACGTCGAGTGAACCAGCGTAAATGCGATAGAACTTTATTTAAAAAACAATAATAATAGTAAGAAAAACACTGACATTTAAACGTCAAAAATATTTCTGACAAAGATTGCAAAGCCTACTAAGATTTTTTCATTAAAAATTCATTCCAACTTTTGATCGACAACCCCGTTGTTTAACGTGCAGTGTTTGCTTTATTATTTTTTTTCTCAAAAATTAGTCGTTTTTGTAAAAATTTTAAAGATACAAAAAAGTTTTAGGATACTTTCATCTACCTAGATAAATTTTTTTTTGATGTATTAATCATCTGCATAAAAAAAATATTAGCAAAAATGTAAAGGGGGTAGTTACGTTTAGTAGTTTAGAGGGGTAGGTTGAAAGTACAAATAGGGTCAAAACGTGCCCTATTATGAGTTAAACATATTCCCCAAATTTCATTTTCCTAGCGTTTATGGCTTTTCAGAAAAAAAAATTAAACCAAAATTTTCCGCCATTTTTGGAGGGGTGTAGCTCCTTAGGGGAGCCGAAGTCGCCCATGGTTCATATATCAAAGTACCCTTAAAATTCACTAAAGAATCACCCCTTGAAGTTTGTTGCAGTCATTCAGATACACCTTGTATATAGTTTGTTCCAATAAACGGTTTGACTCGTCAAATTGAATCACATAGTGAAATAATGCAATGAAATCCGCTGAAATGTGACATTACTGGACATGTGCGATTGCATTTGACGAGTAACGAGTCGGATCGCTTATTGGAACAAAGCTAATATAATACTGGCTGGCTTTAAATCGATTTGCTAGATAAATTCTGAGTCGCTATACTGTTGTACTGTTATTTCGAAATACTCTTCATTGTTTGGTCTTATTCACACTGGTGTATCAAGTAATTCACCTTGACTCAAAATTTACTATACTATACTACTGTTCTGTGTCTTGCCACTGCTTGAACAAACCTTATGTTGCATTTTATGTGGTTTCTATAGAAATATATTTTTGTATATTGCATCTTAAGTGTAATTCACTGTAGATGAAAAATGAAAGAAAAAAACGAACCTAGAATTTGTAATAACAGCGGCTTTTGGTAATCCGGTTGTGCCAGAAGTATAAATATAAACTAAACCATCTTGATTTCCGACTGTTCCATCTAAAACAGGAGCTGCCGAGCTTGCATTCTTTAATAATTCATTAACATTTTCAAATCTTGGATCACTATGTTCTGATGATACATGTTTTGGATCAGTAAATTGATATAAAGCTACTTTGTTGTTAATTTCATCAAAAATTTCCAAGAGTTCTATAAAAATTTAAGTTTATTATTAGATAAATTTTATGTTATATCAAGGACGGTAGAATCTAAAATTCGTCAGTATTCCCTCAATCAGCTGTTATTTATATTAGATTTACTTTTAAAGTAAACTATGTTGTGTGGAGTGACTTTAACATTTATCACAAGTAGATTTCATGAATTAATCTTTCAATTAAAATTACTAATACGGCCAAACCCGACTGTTTCTAGTTCAAGGTCTAGTGATAGCTCTAGTTTTAGTTGTTATTCAGCGTCAGATTATTGCATATTTTTCATTGAACTAAAACTATAGTAATTGAACAGGCCGGCGAGTTGTATTCTACCATCCTTAATATAAATTAAATACCTACCTGGTTTTAATTCATCCCCAAAAACACATGCAACACTTTTAGCAACCGTTATAGAATGCAATAAAGATTTCTGTTTTAAATTGCTGTTAATAAGCGGTATAACACATCCAATTTTAGATAATCCTAACCAAAAACCAATGTATTCAGGTTTATTGTCTAAATATAAAGCGATTACGTCGCCTTTTTTGTAGCCTTGACTCTTAAAAATGTTCGCTACTTTGTTACTGAACTCTTCAAGCTAAAACAAAAAGGTTATCTTTAATATTTTTTGACCTAAATTCATTATTTTTTGATTTACAAACCTGCCCGAAAGTAAATGATCTATCTTCGAAAACAACCGCTTCTCTGTTAGGCCACTTTTTAGCGTTTTCAGAGAAAATTTGCGCAACTGTCATATTTCTTCTTGCATATCTCCTGATTTGTCGAAGAGTTTTTATGTATCTCGATAAAGCTCTGTACAAAAAAAAATTGATATCAAAATTTAAAAATGATTATTCATTTGAAAGGTATATAATGTTTTTAACCTTTGATCTTTGAAACCATTTTCAAAGCATTTTATTGCTTTTCATTAAGGTCGCGGTTTAAAAATCCAGGTGTTTTTAAACGTTTTATCTTTCATCAACAATTAACATTTTAAAGACTATAAAACCCACGTTAATACATTAACAATTACTTCTACAAATATAATATTTACTAAAACCATTTACAGAGGTAATATTTACCGAAACAACATTTGTACAGATTAATAGGTGCTAAAAATTGCTGATAAATCAATCAAACACCAATACAAATAAATTTTTTTCTTTTAAAACATCAATTTTGTTAAAACAGAAAGGAAATTGTTATTAGAAATCAAGATTTAGATAAGCTATCATTTTTATTAATAAAATATGGCCTAAGGACCACTCAAAAATGATTCAAATTAAAATTAAGAACTATGACAACTGTCAATTTAAATGTCAAATTGACATTTTAAATGTCAAAACATCAAAAATTAAAATGATTAAGAATAAAATAAATATGTTAAATACAATGATATATAACAATTTAAAAAAAAAATGTTTGATTACGTTTGGGTTATGTTTGTCGCTTTTTAATTTAAATAAAAACTGGGTTAATTGCAAAATGTAAAACGAAACTTACGTGAAATCTCTTTTGGCTGTACACGCGGCAACGTAAAACCAATCGTGTTTTACTATAATTAGGAATAAAAGTAACGCTGGGAAAAGGTAAATAAGGAAGTATTCCCATCCCTCGTAGTACCATAACAAACCACCACCGGTCATTAATCCGGACATAAGAAACATGACTGCCACCCGTTGTAGGAAGACTGTCACTATTTGCGTTTTTTCCTCGACGACGTCGTCGTGCCCCTTTGAAGCGCCGCGAGTTATGTCCCCCTTTTCTACGTCCGCATTTCGATGCTTTGACGACGTCTGGAAATTACGAATAATGACAATTTGAATGTCGGTAAAGACGAAAACATTAAAATAAAAGATCGGTTGGATTTAAAAAATAGACAGGTTGATGTGTAATTAAATAATGTGTAAATCTTAAAAGTTTTCCTTCTTTTTAAATGGAAATTTAAACATTTCTAACCAACAATATTTCGAATTCTCTTTTATATCGGTAAAGAAGATAACTATACTGACTTTAAATTTGCTTATAAATAAATTTAAATTATTAGAATTTTTATTAATTAATTTGAATTATTCTTAAGTTATTTCGTATTAGGAATCAATTAGGTGAAATTGGTAATTAAATAATTATATTAATTTTGATATAAACCAAAAATTGTTGTGATTTAATATAAAATAAGCTTTTATCAGTACTTTTGAATCTTATCCACTTATGATTTTGCTTTTTTAAGTATGTAACAATTGGAGATTTATCATTTCAAAATAAAACGTAATTTAAAGATTTTCAAGGTGAAGATTTAATCAAAATTTTATATTAAAAGCGTAACTTTAAAGTTTCAAATTTGATAGAAACGTGATGTGATAAAATACAATATTAAATATATAAATTAAAATACGAACCATTTTTTTATATGTTTTTGACGATATTTCACCTTAACAACTTTAAATCGCAAAAACTACTAATGAATCCGTTGCACATCCAAGTTATTAAACGCGCCGATTTGAACTGAAATTGAAAATCGGTTCAATGTACAAGCATCCTAGCAATTCATATTTTATCATGTACAATAATCTCCTTCAGGTCGAATTCGTCGACACCTAGAGAGGTGTAACATCGATAAGCCCCCTAAAAAGCCACGATAATTATCGAGTTTCAATTGGGTCGTCAAGATAATTTGTATTTTTTACGATTTATGTTCATTTGGAACATAAAAAAATATTTTGTTAAGATTCCTTTCATTTTTATATTAAGGTCAAAGTTTGAAATGTTTTTTTATAAAGGGAGATAATTGTGTGGTTGATTATCTAAATTCTTATAATTGCGTCATTTAGATTATAATTTTGAGTACTTTCGATAGAGATAGATATTTCTATTTATAAAAACTTTTTTATGCAGGTTTGTGATTTTAAATTAATTAAAATAAAATTTGTTGAATTTGAACGTTAATTAATTTAATTAAGAAGTCTTTTTTTTTAATTTCTAAATTTAATTAATTTAACCTTGAAATATTTGAAAGAGATAACTAAAAATAAACAATAAAAAGAAAAATAACATTTTTTAAATCTTATCGATCCTAGCAATAATGAAATCAGCGATTGTTATCTTTTTGATAAATAATTTCTTTTATGATAGACATTTTAAAACGATTTTTATTTAAATATTTAAATTTGAAAGAGATAATAATTCAAGAAGTGCTTATTGTTTTATCTTAGAACATAATTGAAATTTGGTTAGCTCAAAGAATGTTTTATCCAAATAATTCTTTATCGAACCGGTTTGTTTATCTTTTTCTTTGAGAAACCTGTGGTTTACCTCGACCCAAAAGGTTAAAAATGTCAAAACGAAATTGCAATATCACCTAGATACTTTTTTTTTTATTAACACAAAGACTCATTAATTCGTATCATTTTAATAAAAACAAATTCATATAAAAATTGATGTATATTGTGTTAAACGAATCCGCATAATCGGATTTTGAACGTTTTATTTGCTATCATTATATTATCCACAAAAAGTAATAGTTGAGGTTATATCAATAAGTCAAAAATGACAAATCATGACGTTTGATGTGTCATAAATAAAAGCCCCCAGATGATGTTTTACCAATACCAACATTATGACAGTTGTTTAAAAAAATAACCTATAATTTTTATTGTCAAAAACATACAATATTTAAATCGTTTTATAAAAACCTTGAAGTTATTCTACTTAGAAATATTAACCCTTAACTGTGTAAGCGTAACTTGAAACAACCAGCACAGTTAAGGGTTAATGAAAAATGTAAAACTTACCTGTTCTTTAGTACCATTCATTTTCTTTTAATACAATGCTTATTTATCAAACGAACACGGAAAAACACTTTCTAAACTGTTCAAAGTTTATTTTTAAACGAATTAATGAGAAATGTCGATGATTACAGCTAATTAAAAACTAGTTTCATTGAAACATTTATCCTGTTAATTAATGTATAAAAATATTTTTCATTCGCAAACACAATTATTTTTGTTCTTACACCTACGACAACACGAAACGGTTTGAAACCGAATGTTTTTCCTATATAAAAACGGTAGCGTTTCAAATCCCCCACCGTTTTCCTCCGTTTCAAGCCGATTTTAATTCTTTTCCTAACAATATCACTACTAATTTTTGTTAATTAAAAATAATAATTTGAGATTTTCTTCGTATTGCTAGTATTTAAAAAAAAATGTTTTTGAAGATATTGATGATAAGATAAATTGGGCGATGACGAATGGAAGAAGTGTGTCGTGAAATTTTCAAACTATTATTCTTCGTTTGAGTTAAAAGATAGTTGGTATAGAAAGAGGTTTGCTTTCTTCAAGGTTGAACTTTCCAAGTAAGCGGACAACTTTCTAGACATACTCAATTTATAATTTTTTTCCAGGGAACTTTAGAAAAAAGTTGTTTGGATGTTTTTAATTTCACACCGCATTTTTCCAATTAATTTCTAAAAAAGCATAAATCATCTCTATAATCATTAACCAAAGTATCCAATTTATTTTAAAACGCAATGAGAAAATTATTTAATTTGAGAGAGGAGTTGAGGTCATTTTTGAGTTTCGTAAATATCTAATTAAACCAATTAATTACGAGAGAGAAACTTCACAAATCAACAGAAAAAAATAATTAAATACGTTAAACCTGCATTTATAAGAAATTTTCTTAGCATGACTGTAAAAGTGAATGAGTTCTATCTATAATTAAGGTTTGAAATAATAAAAAGGTAAAGAACGGGATACATAATAATAATTCTAGAAGGTGAAACCTTGAAGTTCAGAGAAGGAATTGTGACAAAACAGTCATTAATATATCGTTATACAATCGATTTACATTTGAGAATGTTTGTTGTTGATTTAGTCACGTGGATAAAAAAGTTTAATCTCTTTAATATGTATTTTTAAAATAGCACACACAAATATTATTCTTTTTTAGGGTCAAATAAAAATTTAAAATCCATTAACATTTTTTTTTATTGACCCCAAGATATTGTTTACTTTACTTTGTATAAAGATTCGAATAAAATTAATATTAATGTCATTACAACATTCGGGCTTAGTCGCACGTCTCTCAATTCGGCTAAACCCGAATGGTTCTAGTTCTAGGTCTTTTTAGTCTTAACTAGGTCTAACAATAAGTCTTCTTAGTCTAACTTAGTGATTAATTGATCTGGAAAGCGGTAGTATTCTTTAATCCCCAATGAAATAACATAAATCCTGCATGATTCAACGGAAGAAGTGAACAGGGAAAGAAAAGAGGGGATTGAGATGTGGAAACAACTGGAGAGCAGGGACAGGGATGTGGGAAAGATAAGAGAAAGGGCTACCAAAGTACTTGATTATGGAGGGGATGAGGAAGGGAAGAGGTTGGTAGCCAGATTTAGATGTGGCAGGAGAGGGGATGCAGACTATGTGGGGAAAACTGAGAGTCTTTACACCATATGCTGGGGGAGAGAGTGGAGGCACAAGGGAAGGAGATGGATGGGGGAGGTGGTGGCAACGAGGAGACGTAGTGTGACAGGGAAAGGCGGGTTAAATGGATAATTTATAACTATTGTAGTATAAATTAAAACCTTCTGAGAAACAATAAATTATTATTATTAAATCCCACATGAAACACCTTATCAACCACACAAATCATTTCACTGTTTGATCTTAAGCATTTATATGATCTGGGGACAAATGTTATCATTGGTACCAGCATTCTGACGTTATATTCCATGGTGTGCATATCATGTATTTATTTTCTGTATAATTTGGGATAGCAGGCTTGAGTTTTGAGTACATTTTAGCAATCTCTTTGCCAACGGCCGTGAGATGAAGATTTGCGAAATCCTCTCTACTCTGTTGATCTCTGGACAATCGATTCAATGAGACTTCTAATCAGAAATGTCGTACACATCAGTTTTGTTCTAACTTCAATAGATATTTCACCTGCTTCAATCGTTAACGCATTTGTTGGATTTTTAAGATTGTAAAATTTAAAAATAAAAACATTGACCTTTTTTTTTAATATTTGTGTAATTGAAATATGTAATAATGTAATAATATATAGGGGGGCAAGAGAAAAATGATAATAACAACATCGTTATCGTTATCAGAAAATTCGTTTATTGCATTTTATGAGTGCACCAGTTGGTTTATTGCCCATCATATTCTACATTAATAACATTTTTATTGTTTCTATTAGCATTTATAATAACGAAATGTTGGTAAACGTTTTTGTAGGAAATATTGAATAAGAGATAAAACAAAAAAGTCTTTTTAAGATAAAATTTATTAAATATTACATCAAATATATGAATCCATTTGAACGATAACTACACATCATTCTTTTTGTTTTTATTTCTTGATCTCAATATTTTACTTTCGCTTTTTTATTAACAATAAATACTTCCGCGATTTCTTTGTCTAATATTTTAGCATTCCAATAATTTTTCTTTCTCCATCTCCATTATTAAAAAATATATATACACACATTGTTTTTTAAATCTTTATCTTAGGATAGATATTTATTTTCGGACTCCTTTGGAACATTTTTATTTTTATTATAATCCTTCTCTTTCTCTTTCGTTATTATTATTAGTTTTTCTCGCATATACATAATATATATATTTTTTTCCGATTAAAATAATTTCTAAACAAGCCCAAACTACATAATATGAGTATTAGATGTCGAATACGGACCGTTTTGAGGTTGTTGTCCGGCAGGGGGGCCCACTTGAGCGCCCACATGCGATTGCGCCATCGAAGCTGTTCTACTCTGTTGGTACGCTTGATGATGATGAATTCCACCAGGGAAATTTTGCATACTAAAAGTTTTTCAACAATTTCTAAACTTGTAGTAAAAATTTAATTTTAAATTTACATGCTCGGATGAAAACTCGATCTAATTTGCATTTCCGGAATAGAACCAGGTGGTGGTAAATTTTGGCCTTGATTAGACGGAATGTTTTGTGGAGGGGCCATCATCATACTTTGGACCGGCTGTATTCCTTGAGGTTGCATCGATTGGGGTCCCCCAGACATCGAGATTGGACCTCCCATTGACGATGGACCCGAAGGTAATTGCATCGGGGGAAATTGATGCATACTTTGAGGCATCATTACTTGGGGACGATCTTGAAGTGGAAGTGAATACATCATTGAAGGATGACCTATATTTGATGGTGGCATATTTCCATTAAACTAAAAATAAATAATAAAATTAAAAAAATAATCATTTTGAATGACAGCTTCAACTGACATAAATTTTTGAGGTTAGAATTTTTAAATTAATCAAATTGGAATAATTCAAGATTAGGAGTCTCTCTTAAAAATCGATGATTTTTTTTTAATCGATAGGAAATGAGTCAAAAGAGGCGTAAATGATAAAAAAAAAGTGCGGAAAAGTGTAGTACTTACCGAAAAATCACTTTAAAGTTGCGATTTGACGTTTCTTTTTGGAAGTTCAAAGCAATGTTAAAATTGCATTTTCGTATTAAATCCTAACCTGAAATTGTTTAATTTATACCCACGCACAAAATAAAAAGTTATTTTCACTAAACTTATTGAGATTACAACATATTTATTCATAATGACACCTATGTGAAGTTAGCCCCCAATTAAACAGAATTTTACATGTATAGTATTTTAATTATAACATGAGAACCAGTGAACCGATTTCGATAAACAATGTCTCATTCGAAAGCTTAATCCTTGGCCAATACGAAAGTGGAAATGCCCGATTGACGATGTGACGATAGCAACGATAGCAACAAACCTTCCAACAACAAATTTTTATCCGCAATTTCCTATCTATTTTATTAGCTGATATCTTTCTTATTATTAGATATAGCAGAACACTAAATGCACCATATGAAAGCTTGATTCTTTCTTTATGAAATCGTCGGTCCTCGTTTGCCGATATGTTAATATTAAAATCAATAAAAGATGAAGAACACCGCTCTGTACGTAAAATAGCTTAATATTACCAAACTTCAAGCCCTTGTGCAATTGTTATCAAACCGAATTTTAAAAAACTGTGTTCACAATCAGAAAGAACGCTCCTTCAAATATCTTAATCCGGGTTTTTGTTGGTCAATATCAATTAGCATCATGGTTAAATCACCTTTAATATACATCTCTATATACAGAAACGTTTAATTGCTCTACCTCTAAACAACTTTCTTATTTGATATGAGGAAAACTATAGAAGTATATCATGAAGTTATAGACTTACACAAGGACGTTTTTGGTCAAAAAATTACCAAATTCACACGTTTTAGCTACTTTTAAACATTGTTGGGATCAATAACTTTCTTATATCACCAGGAAAAAACTCTATAACCAAGC